CTATGTGTTATGTTAATTATCGTACACAACAGATTGATGTCAATGTGTTATGTTAATTATCATAAACAGAAGGTAGATATTGATGTCAATGTGTTATGTTAATTATCATAAACAGAAGGTAGATATTGATGTCAATGTGTTATGTTAATTATCATACACCGAAGTTAGATATTGATGTCTATGTGTTGTGTTAATTATCATACACCGAATGTAGATATTGATGTCCATGTGTTGTGTTAATTATCATACACCGAAGGTAGATATTGATGTCTATGTGTTGTGTTAATTATCATACACCGAATGTAGATATTGATGTCCATGTGTTGTGTTAATTATCATACACCGAAGTTAGATATTGATGTCTATGTGTTATGTTAATTATCATAAACAGAAGGTAGATATTGATGTCAATGTGTTATGTTAATTATCATACACCGAAGTTAGATATTGATGTCTATGTGTTATGTTAATTATCATACACCGAATGTAGATATTGATGTCAATGTGTTATGTTAATTATCGTACACAACAGATTGATGTCCATGTGTTGTGTTAATTATCATACACCGAAGGTAGATATTGATGTCTATGTGTTGTGTTAATTATCATACACCGAATGTAGATATTGATGTCCATGTGTTGTGTTAATTATCATACACCGAAGGTAGATATTGATGTCTATGTGTTGTGTTAATTATCATACACCGAATGTAGATATTGATGTCCATGTGTTGTGTTAATTATCATACACCGAAGGTAGATATTGATGTCTATGTGTTGTGTTAATTATCATACACCGAATGTAGATATTGATGTCCATGTGTTATGTTAATTATCATATACAGAAGGTAGATATTGATGTCCCTGTGTTGTGTTAATTATCATACACCGAAGGTAGATATTGATGTCCATGTGTTATGTTAATTATCATATACAGAAGGTAGATATTGATGTCCTTGTGTTGTGTTAATTATCATACACCGAAGGTAGATATTGATGTCCATGTGTTATGTTAATTATCATATACAGAAGGTAGATATTGATGTCCATGTGTTGTGTTAATTATCATACACAGAGGGTAGATATTGATGTCTATGTGTTATGTTAATTATCATACACCGAAGGTTGATATTGATGTCCATGTGTTGTGTTAATTATCATACACCGAAGGTAGATATTGATGTCAATGTGTTATGTTAATTATCATACACAGAGGGTAGATATTGATGTCTATGTGTTATGTTAATTATCATACACAGAAGGTAGATATTGATGTCAATGTGTTATGTTAATTATCGTACACAACAGATTGATGTCAATGTGTTGTGTTAATTATCATAAACAGAAGGTAGATATTGATGTCAATGTGTTATGTTAATTATCATAAACAGAAGGTAGATATTGATGTCAATGTGTTATGTTAATTATCATACACCGAAGTTAGATATTGATGTCTATGTGTTATGTTAATTATCATACACCGAATGTAGATATTGATGTCCATGTGTTGTGTTAATTATCATACACCGAATGTAGATATTGATGTCCATGTGTTGTGTTAATTATCATACACCGAAGTTAGATATTGATGTCAATGTGTTATGTTAATTATCATAAACAGAAGGTAGATATTGATGTCAATGTATTATGTTAATTATCATACACCGAAGGTAGATATTGATGTCTATGTGTTATGTTAATTATCATACACCGAAGTTAGATATTGATGTCAATGTGTTATGTTAATTATCGTACACAACAGATTGATGTCCATGTGTTGTGTTAATTATCATACACCGAAGGTAGATATTGATGTCTATGTGTTGTGTTAATTATCATACACCGAATGTAGATATTGATGTCCATGTGTTGTGTTAATTATCATACACCGAAGGTAGATATTGATGTCTATGTGTTGTGTTAATTATCATACACCGAAGGTAGATATTGATGTCCATGTGTTGTGTTAATTATCATACACCGAAGGTAGATATTGATGTCTATGTGTTGTGTTAATTATCATACACCGAATGTAGATATTGATATCCATGTGTTATGTTAATTATCATATACAGAAGGTAGATATTGATGTCCCTGTGTTGTGTTAATTATCATACACCGAAGGTAGATATTGATGTCCATGTGTTATGTTAAATATCATACACAGAGGGTAGATATTGATGTCAATGTGTTATGTTAATTATCATACACAGAAGGTAGATATTGATGTCAATGTGTTGTGTTAATTATCATACACAGAAGGTAGATATTGATGTCAATGTGTTATGTTAATTATCATACACAGAGGGTAGATATTGATGTCAATGTGTTATGTTAAATATCATACACAGAGGGTAGATATTGATGTCAATGTGTTATGTTAATTATCATACACAGAAGGTAGATATTGATGTCAATGTGTTGTGTTAATTATCATAAACAGAAGGTAGATATTGATGTCAATGTGTTATGTTAATTATCGTACACAACAGATTGATGTCAATGTGTTATGTTAATTATCATACACAGAAGGAAGATATTGATGTCAATGTGTTATGTTAATTATCATAAACAGAAGGTAGATATTGATGTCAATGTGTTATGTTAATTATCGTACACAACAGATTGATGTCAATGTGTTATGTTAATTATCATAAACAGAAGGTAGATATTGATGTCAATGTGTTTTGTTAATTATCATAAACAGAAGGTAGATATTGATGTCAATGTGTTATGTTAATTATCATAAACAGAAGGTAGATATTGATGTCAATGTGTTATGTTAATTATCATAAACAGAAGGTAGATATTGATGTCAATGTGTTATGTTAATTATCGTACACAACAGATTGATGTCAATGTGTTATGTTAATTATCATAAACAGAAGGTAGATATTGATGTCAATGTGTTATGTTAATTATATCATAAACAGTTAATTATCATACACCGAAGTTAGATATTGATGTCTATGTGTTATGTTAATTATCATACACCGAATGTAGATATTGATGTCCATGTGTTGTGTTAATTATCATACACCGAAGGTAGATATTGATGTCTATGTGTTGTGTTAATTATCATACACCGAATGTAGATATTGATGTCCATGTGTTGTGTTAATTATCATACACCGAAGGTAGATATTGATGTCTATGTGTTATGTTAATTATCGTACACAACAGATTGATGTCAATGTGTTATGTTAATTATCATAAACAGAAGGTAGATATTGATGTCAATGTGTTATGTTAATTATCATAAACAGAAGGTAGATATTGATGTCAATGTGTTATGTTAATTATCATACACCGAAGTTAGATATTGATGTCTATGTGTTGTGTTAATTATCATACACCGAATGTAGATATTGATGTCCATGTGTTGTGTTAATTATCATACACCGAAGGTAGATATTGATGTCTATGTGTTGTGTTAATTATCATACACCGAATGTAGATATTGATGTCCATGTGTTGTGTTAATTATCATACACCGAAGTTAGATATTGATGTCTATGTGTTATGTTAATTATCATAAACAGAAGGTAGATATTGATGTCAATGTGTTATGTTAATTATCATACACCGAAGTTAGATATTGATGTCTATGTGTTATGTTAATTATCATACACCGAATGTAGATATTGATGTCAATGTGTTATGTTAATTATCGTACACAACAGATTGATGTCCATGTGTTGTGTTAATTATCATACACCGAAGGTAGATATTGATGTCTATGTGTTGTGTTAATTATCATACACCGAATGTAGATATTGATGTCCATGTGTTGTGTTAATTATCATACACCGAAGGTAGATATTGATGTCTATGTGTTGTGTTAATTATCATACACCGAATGTAGATATTGATGTCCATGTGTTGTGTTAATTATCATACACCGAAGGTAGATATTGATGTCTATGTGTTGTGATGTCTATGTGTGTGTTATGTTAATTATCATACACAGAAGGTAGATATTGATGTCCATGTGTTGTGTTAATTATCATACACCGAAGGTAGATATTGATGTCCATGTGTTATGTTAATTATCATATACAGAAGGTAGATATTGATGTCCTTGTGTTGTGTTAATTATCATACACCGAAGGTAGATATTGATGTCCATGTGTTATGTTAATTATCATACACAGAAGGTAGATATTGATGTCCATGTGTTGTGTTAATTATCATACACCGAAGGTAGATATTGATGTCCATGTGTTGTGTTAATTATCATACACCGAAGGTAGATATTGATGTCCATGTGTTATGTTAATTATCATACACAGAGGGTAGATATTGATGTCTATGTGTTATGTTAATTATCATACACAGAAGGTAGATATTGATGTCCATGTGTTGTGTTAATTTTCATACACAGAAGAACCCCATCATGTACTCCATAGCTGTCTAGGACACGTTGAATGATATTTTTTATATTGTAGAATATCAATTCGGTAATCATATGAGAATATATTCATATTTACTGTTACCATGGTAATTGATTCTTCGCAATTCTCATTATCATGGTACATCAGTTAGTGATATGACGTTATGAATGACTCCCGCGTAACGTAAATTAGATTATCTGCTATCGCTCAATTTATAATGAAATGAAATTCGTTTGAAATATGGTCTTTATCCCAATCTTTGTTAAACTTTTGAGATTTTTTTTTACGAAAAGATTATAAACGTTGGAATTTTGTGTTTAGCAATTGATATATGAATATATGTGAAATATTCTGAAAATTGGTAATATAAATTCTATAGGTTAGACCACAAAGGTGACATCTGTACTGGAAATTGATTTGCTTTTTGACACCCTCTTGTTTAGACGCCTCTATAGGAATACTCGATATATATTTAGACCATACACAACCTGTCGATCGTATTAACCATGATATACTCAGTATTTACTATTTATTTCAATCAGATCGGGACGATTTAAGTTATTATAACGTTTATCTTTGTTTAATATATACTCGACTGTGTTTCAGGGGCATTTCTCATCCCGTTTCTTATATTTCTGGTGTTATGTGGACTGCCGTTGTACTTCCTGGAACTCAGCCTCGGACAGTTTACTGGAAAGAGTGCAAGTCACGCCTGGGAAGTGTGTCCTATCTTTAAAGGTAAACATCACACAATAACTTTGAGTTGTGTATATTAAGAGGTATGTGAGTTTTGTAATTTGGGGTGTTTCATATCCATATTACTATTTCTTTTGTCCGATAGGTGTGGGAGTTGGAATGGTGATTGCCATAGGGATAATAGGTTTGTACTACAACGTCATCATCGCCTGGACATTGTTCTATATCGGTAACAGCTTCATCAGTCCTCTCCCTTGGAGCACATGTTCAAATGATTGGAACACCGACACGTGCGGCGTTCGGATTGGTAACAACACCGACACGAACAGCTCATTCATTCTAAGTGTAACTGGTTTAGATCTCCATAACAGCACCAATGATGTCTCACCAACATTTAAGGGACTTACATCAGAAGAGGAATTTTGGCAGTAAGTATAAAAATTATTTGCATAAAAAACATCCCATTTTATATTTTATGCAGTTTTGCGTCAGATGAAAAATACAATGGAAACTTGCCTAATCAATAATACAGAAAATAAATTTCCTCGATCTGGTACATTCGTGTTTCAATAAAATTAATAAAAAAAACCCAATGTCTTGTTTGATATATACCATTCTATCGTAAGTTATACGATAGAGGATTTTTGATTTATTGAGACTGACGAGTGTATTCTTGGAATTCTCCCATTAAATAACAGTAAATAATAGTTTTGATAGGATCCGAGTGTTTATTGAATACTAGAATGTGTGCTTTTGAAGGTATAAAGTGTTAAATATGTCCTCTGGTCTGGAAGTCATCGGCCGGATCCCATGGCACTTGGCAGTGTGTTTCTTCGCTGCGTGGATACTCGTCTACCTATGCCTGATTAAAGGTGTAAAGTCGATAGGAAAGGTACCCAGAAATAACGGTGTAGTTGTGATCATGTATTATCTGTAACTGACAAACGAACAGTCATTCCATAATTACAAAGTTATGAAAGAGAAATATGATGCATTCTTATTTTTTATTTAGATACAAATGGAATTATCATAGTTCATTTTGAAGTTTTTTTTATTATCACCATGTGATGATAGAAAGCACATAAATTAATTCATCGCCATTGCCCTCATTCAACTACATGTGAACAAAACCAATTATCATAATGCATTGTTTTGAAAATCAGCCATGCATGCATTTTCTAAAAATGAAATGTGCATTCCACAATCTTTGATATCGAATATGATACGTGTTGACGCCACGAATAGAGCGATGATTAAACAATTGTCTATAGGTACATTGCAAATATGTGAGATACCTCGAGATACATGATCACAATGTCACTTGCCTCTTTTTTTCCACGGTGCAGCTCAACTATCTCACCACCTAAACCTCATGATTGCTGCCTGGAACTACAAACATGTAAACAGGAAATGTCTTAATCAGGAGAAAATGCTATATTTGAGCTTTTTATGAGCACTAATTTATCATAAGTTGTTGCAAATTTTTTAAATGGCTTTGTATGTTATAAGCAGAGGATAGTCATTCACAGATGGTTCATATTGATGTCAATGTGTTATGTTAATTATCATACACAGAAGGTAGATATTGATGTCAATGTGTTGTGTTAATTATCATACACAGAAGGTAGATATTGATGTCCATGTGTTGTGTTAATTATCATACACAGAGGGTAGATATTGATGTCAATGTGTTATGTTAATTATCATACACAGAAGGTAGATATTGATGTCCATGTGTTGTGTTAATTATCATACACAGAAGGTAGATATTGATGTCCATGTGTTATGTTAATTATCATACACCGAAGGTTGAGATTGATGTCAATGTGTTATGTTAATTATCATACACAGAAGGTAGATATTGATGTCAATGTGTTATGTTAATTATCATACACAGAAGGTAGATATTGATGTCAATGTGTTATGTTAATTATCATACACAGAAGGTAGATATTGATGTCAATGTGTTGTGTTAATTATCATAAATAGAAGGTAGATATTGATGTCAATGTGTTATGTTAATTATCGTACACAACAGATTGATGTCAATGTGTTATGTTAATTATCATACACAGAAGGTAGATATTGATGTCAATGTGTTATGTTAATTATCATACACAACAGATTGATATTGATGTCCATGTGTTATGTTAATTATCATACACAGAAGGTAGATATTGATGTCAATGTGTTATGTTAATTATCATACACAGAAGGTAGATATTGATGTCAATGTGTTGTGTTAATTATCATATACAGAAGGTAGATATTGATGTCCATGTGTTATGTTAATTATCATACACAGAAGGTAGATATTGATGTCAATGTGTTATGTTAATTATCATACACAGAAGGTAGATATTGATGTCAATGTGTTATGTTAATTATCATACACAACAGATTGATGTCAATGTGTTATGTTAATTATCATAAACAGAAGGTAGATACTGATGTCTATGTGTTATGTTAATTATCATACACAGAAGGTAGATATTGATGTCCATGTGTTATGTTAATTATCATACACCGAAGGTTGATATTGATATCCATGTGTTATGTTAATTATCAAATACAGAAGGTAGATACTGATGTCCATGTGTTATGTTAATCATCATACACAGATGGTTGAAATCGATGTCCATGTGTTATGTTAATTATCATACACAGATGGTTGAAATCGATGTCAATGTGTAGTCTTATTTATCATACACCGAAGGTAGATATTGATGTCAGTATGGTAGGTAAATTATCATACACAGAAGGTTCATAATGATGCCAATGTGTTGTTTTATAAATTACATACAACTAGCAGATAACACGTTTTCAAACAGGACAGATATCCATGTCAATCAAAGATTTTTATAGATGAATGAACAAACTAGTCATTTCACCAGTAGATGTGACATTACCTGTGGTAATGAAAATTTGTGTTTGATTTGCATTATTTCGACCAAGTAGCCGTTTATTCCATTGACAACCTTAGTCAATCTAATCTTGTGTACTTAACATATTAGGTACCCATATTTTGCCAAGTAATAAGTTTATGTATCGCAACAGAGTGTGAACAGCTTTTCACTACTTTCATAAACGAGTTTCACGTGTCATGTTTCCCGGGTATATTCTTACACTTACAACAGTGTATAGGTGAGTATGCTGCTTTACATGATACCAGATATGACTTGACAAAAAAACCATCAACATCTTTATCTACTTTTGTGACAGGTCGAATGAAAAGTACTAATAAGGCAAAAGTATAAGGGAGTCATATAAACATGATAAAAAGTCATACGAACGAACTCAATTGAATCTTCTGCAAACACGATATTTGTGTTCAGTCATTTCACCTCCATCAACACGGAAAACTTATTCAAGCCCATTTTGGATTAACTTTCCATCCGTGCATTAGAATATTTTCATCTTTCTAGACATGTTAGGACATATGATGTCACAATATAAACAATATATTTTTGAATGGCGGTCACAATCTTATGGACCCAACCTTGACTGATATATAATGTATGATATTAAGTTTGTTCTTAATTGTTTATGTCTTATCTAAAAATGTAGATTATAAATGTGAGTGATGATCGTGAGTTTATCAAAACTGTAACGTCACAATCATAGTGATTCTGATCGCTGGGTGATGAGTTTAATTTATTGACACAACACCACTTTTTCTGTCAACATGCTTTCCAAGTTTAACGTTGAATACGTGTAATTGTTACATGTATACTATTGTGCGCTTTTTCACATACATACCTAAATTCCGAGTAGACATTCTGATAAATAGCAATGTGAGATATTAGGTACATGTATCCTAAATTGTTTCTAATGATAGGAGTGGTAACAATGAATATATGTAACATATAGATATTTGAATATGTAAAAAGGCATTAGTTGCAATACCTCTATTATAGATGGAAAGGGGATATCAGGCTTACTAGACTAACGCAGTTATGATTAAGTCTAACAGAAACTCTAGTTATTCTGTAAGAGGTAGTATTAAGCCAGTGTCACAAAGTTTCTTCCAGGATATTTGTATAGTAGTAAAAGCGATGCTAGTGCAGCAACGCTTAGTATTTTATGGGTCCCTACAAAGACTAATGATTGGATTACCGACACTTTCTCGAAAGCAGAATCAATTAGCAAAAAAAAATTTCCAGAGAAACTTACATAAATGCCTAACAATTCTTATAGATGTCAAACAACTGTGTCACGATTTGTCCAGATGAAAAATTTCCCTATGCTGCTCTACATTAGTATGATGTCCAACCCTGATGCACAAGGGTGTCCAATTAAATATGAATGTCCGATGCCGTAAAAGTCTTTGACGTTATGATAAGGGTTTGTGTCGGCGTGATCAACATGGACGACACTATTTTAGAATGTGTGTGATTTGGAGTTAGCTTGTTTTGATTTTGTTGTCTAGGTGGTATACGTAACTGCTACACTCCCGTACATACTGTTGACTGTTATCCTTGTCCGAGGGTTGACCTTGCCTGGTGCTGTCGATGGTGTTTTGTTCTATCTCACTCCAGACTTCTCCAGACTGACCGACATGCAGGTAAAACCTCAAGGCCGCATCTTTAAACTTTCGTGATGAATGATACATATAAAACTTTAACATTTTCATGGAGTGATGTGAACACATAATTAACACAGTTCTGGCGTAAATATGTAACAGCATAATTAACCAACTTTCATACATGATACCAGACATGCTTTTGGTATTCGCTTCGACTTCCTTTCAGTTATTATCGAAGAACTAGATAACATTTCTCGTGATATTCTCGTCGTTTTATCAAATTCAATGATTAAAGTTCTTTACCAATCATGGTTAGTTCATGAAAGAAAAAATGTGTAAGAGATTGTGTGAGTATAGAAGAATAGTGCAGTTTGAAAGATGGTTGAATTTTTCGTTTGATGGCTGTAAATGTGTATGATATTGTGTTAATCTGGGGTTTTGTTTAAGTGGCCTTCCATTTGATGTATGAGAGCTTAATGGAAGTTGGTTGGTGTGAAGATTGTGTCATGCCATTGTTTTGGGTGGGTGTAAATGCAGGTGCTTATCGTGTGTCAGGCGACGGGCAGAGTCAAGGAGACGAAAAACCTTCATCATCATTATCATCATCGTGTGTCAGGTAGTGAGTAGACACTAGGCACCAATCGTGTTGTCACCTCTCCCACCTTTCCACTGCTTCCCAGGTTGGGAATATGTAATCTATTTGGGCATATTGTAAATAATGGAGCATAGGTTTTGCACGTAGGTTACTTGTGGGTGGATCGTCGAGTTATTAATTAGGTATGTAGGGTTTCTGTGTTACAGACTGCTTAGTGAATGGGCGTGAAAGTGATTGTTCGTTGTTATCTTTTTTTGTTTATTCAATTAAATATTCATTAAATATATTGTATCATAGGGTGTTGTTAAGTTACCGATTCACAAATTGTAGACCTGAAGAACGGATGTCGAATAAATCTGTTACATAATTCACAGGTCACCACAGACAGTAGATACTCATCTTTATATATGTGTTTTCGAATCTCAATCATATTACTTATCATTATTGATAACAGGCTTTGAGACAAATAAGAAACGTTTTAATTCTGTAATTTATCAAAATTATGATTATTTGAGATATTTCTTTCCAGGTATGGATTGAGGCCGCGTTGCAGGTATTCTACTCACTAGGTCCAGCATGGGGCCCCATGATCACCATGGCAAGCTACAACAAGTTCAATAATAACTGTTACAGGTAAATCATATGATTCTGGAAATAATCCGCGAAGGAGTGATGTAAACAAACAGACAACGCTGAACAACTCCAGATAATATATCATTTGCACTACTGTAATTTTAGCTCTTGTGGATGGGAAATAGATCAGCAGACACAAATGTATGGTTCTGAAGCATTTTTTATCATATGACATTAAATGATTTTGGTTGAAAATAAATAGAACAAGAGTTAAATGAGTATGTTATGTACAGTGACTAAATTTTACCTTTCTGTACAAAATCGTATTTCTGATATATATATATATATATTGAGCACTTGTGTTTGATGTATTCGGAAACCGATTTTTTTTAAAGTAGTAACTTCATTCCAGCCATGAGCGTCAGTCTGCCTTGATATACATGACTGTTAGACAGATGTTTAGATAATCGTAACGGAATGAATGTCGTTTTCATTCACGCAGAGACGCCATTGTACTTACCTTCATGAGCGAGGGGACGAGTATTTACGCCGGGCTGGTGGTGTTCTCTGTGCTGGGATTCATGGCAAACAAAGCCAGTCTACCTATATCTGAAATCGCTAAATCAGGTACACATAGCTATAGAATCTTGAATGTGGTAACGCGCATTGAATTACAAATGCGTCTGACTCGGAACGTATCAACCGTACCGAAAGATTTTCTTCATTGTGAGGACAAATGTTCATAGATCTATGTTTCTGGTACATAACATATCTTTTTAATTGTAACCAAAAGTTTAAAAAGTGAAACATTTGTTATTATTAGATAAAGAAAATCTGCTACGAACATTCTGTTTTAATTTTTCATAGGTCCCGGTCTGGGGTTCATAGCCTATCCAGAGGCACTAGCCCAGCTTCCGTTTCCAAATTTATGGGCAGCCCTGTTCTTCATCATGCTACTGACGGTTGGACTAGACAGTCAGGTACATTGCTTTTCTATAGGAATTAAAGCGTGATGTCGTTATAATTAGAAATTAGATTTCTCAACCAATAACAGCTAACCTTGATAAAGAACAGTATTATGGTTTATTAATCACTTGTTATAAAGATTTTTATTCATATTCTTTCTTTAAAATTGGTTTAGTTTCATTTACACTCTAATGACGTTGAAATTATCGTTAATGATGCTCGTCAGATGGCAGAATAATGAAAATTACGAAATTTATTGAATGATGGGACTAGTGAACCTCCCCACCTGCATTTTGACCGTTGTCTTTTTAAAATTATGCCAACATCATTGATGAGCCCTAGAATGAAACAGCTGTCGGATGCAGTATGATTCCTTATTTGGCGCTGAAGTATAGAAAATTCTAAATTTGTATTGAAATGTGCTATTCACTTGTGTTGAATCTCTGTTTAATATTATTTCCTCTTTTTGCAGTTCGTCCATATAGAGGCTGTGTGTACGGCCTTTACAGACACCTTCCCAGCACTGAGGAGAAAGAGAATGATCTTCACGGCTATTTTGTGTGCTTTGTGGTGTTTATTCGGCCTTCTGATCTGTACTCAGGTAGTGACAAAGTATTGTATTTCATATGCTTTTTTTGTGTTTGATCGTTTTTGATATTTTCGTGTTACCACTTTTTTCCACATTAAGGATGCAACTCTATAAGGACCCAAAAGAAATATATGTGAAGTTACCATATACTGACCTTGTATCATGTCAGTCGATGTTTTAGATATAAATACTAATACATCACCGTTTCTTCGTGGCTAATTCAGACGGCATTTTCACGTGTATCATTAATGTATCAAAAAAGACATGACAACTAAATGTTAACTAAATATGAATTTAGTTTAGTAGTGGATATTCTGTAGTGATTGCTATGTGCCAATATGTACCAGAATCCAGACGTTAAGTTTATAGTAAAACAAACAAGGTCGTTGACTGTTCGTATATATTGTATCTATTAAATCAATATTGAATAATAATATTCACTTCATAACCATAACAGAACAAAAAATATTAACCTTTACCCGAACCTGAATGGTGGGTAAAATTATTGATTTTCTGCTGTTCGGAGATTTTGGCATTGTCTACTCTATCATGTATGTGTATACGCAGAAATGTTGAATGTGAAATCAAGTGTGTACTGAATTTCTATCATTTGACCATGTGGGGTTTTTTGAGACAGGGAGGGATATACATCTTCCAAATGGTGGACTGGTACGTAGCTTCCATATCGCTGCCCCTGTTTGGTTTACTGGAAGCTGTTGTCATAGGATGGTTCTATGGTATGTACACAGCGACACGGAGATAAGTATCATGAAGTATATAAAGAGCGCATAGAAATATTGACAGCTTTAATTTACAATCAGCGGTGCATCACCAATATCATTCTAAAAAAAAATGAGACCAGTTTCACGAATCTCAGTGAAAATGTCACATAATCAGTGTTGTAAATTTTACAGGCAACACGCTTTTCCTCTCATTACTTAATGTAAGTGTATTGTCACTATTGGAATATTTTATTGAAATTTGTGCAATATGTCATGTTAGATTTATAATTTGAAAGGTTCCAAAAGGTTTTATTTAATATCTCGGGCTACAGTCTGGGGTGCTCACTATTCTATCTCCTTAGCTATGGGAGAACTTTACGTTCGGTTATCAAGGTCATTTATATTCCTTGTTGGAGAATATTGTAGAAAATATGGACAGACTCATTACAAATTGGTGAACTTCATTTTAAATAGGTCTCAGTCGTGTTAATAGCTCTTTAGCTGAATATAAATCTTTGTTCTCATTTATTCAAACCTTCAACTATATAATCTTACATTGACAAAAGTAGGCACGCATCTGAATTTGTATGAAGATGAACAGTTATAATAAATTATATTATATTGGTTACCATGCGTTCTGTGCCTTCTAAACATTAACAAACGTTTGGTATTTCTTACTGTACCTAGGAGCAGAGAACTTTTCCCGTGATATCAGGCTGATGTTGAACAGAGGCGTACCCGTATTCATGAGAGTGTGCTGGTGTTTCGTTACCCCTGCAGTTCTTTTGGTAAGTGTGACTGGTTCACAGATCATTAGGGATTAACGTCATCGTGTCTATATTGAACATTTACGGTCGATAATACAATGAATGCATTTGTAAAAAAATTTAAACAAAAACTTGGGAATCAACAAATTTGTGATTTTGCTTCCAGGTATGTTACCGTTGGTAACGAAACATGTTTACAGATGACATCAGTAGTTTGTTTGTAGAAACTGTAACATACTTAACCCTAAATATACTTTAACTATATATTATATAACTTGTGTTCTGGCAGTTCCTCCTGTTGTTTACCTTGTCCACCTACAAACCACCAACATACGGGGACTACGTATACCCCGGATATACATCAATTATCGGTTTCATCCTGGCAATGATACCCATCATCCCACTTCCGGTTTGTGCTCTGATGACGATTCGTGGAACACCGGGACAAACATTGATGGAGGTAGATCATACACCACAAATATGTATTCATCTTCATTATTTTGTGTTTCTATAAGGAAACATTCCTTACGTTTTCTTTAACAATTGTTATGTGTCAGTGCACATGTATTCTAATCGCATGAAATTTTTTTGATATGGTACTTTTATACAATATCACTCAAAACATATTCTGTCATGTCGTAACACGTATGTTTGAAAACGAAGATTTTTAGGTATATTTTTTCACATTTATATTTCACTTTCAGAAACTTGTGACGTCATTTAAACCGTCTCCTAACTGGAAACCGGTATCACAAGCGCATGCTAAGAGATACAGTGACATTGGAAACAACAATGAAAGTACTTTTATTGGGGTCATAAAAAGGAACATCCTGGGGGACAACATTTACTCACAATGACGACCCCGCCAGTACACAAGTTAAATTAACTTTTAATGCATATTGTATATGCGATTTGTATATATACATTAACCATTGATGTATCATGCAGTATCTGCACGAGATCGCTGAATAATGTTTCACACTGTAACGATGATGTTAAATAGAGGCACACCAACGACTCGACAAGCTATGTAACAGTTATCTCCCTTGTGTACGATTCTCTGTGGGTTTACTTAGATCTCATTCCCCCTGTAATGACATTTGCGCTAATGTCATGTTAAAACTGTCAACGTCTGTACTAAGTAATAGGACCTAGTACAAAGTAACAATGAGTATGCCTAACAGAGTATGGTACGATTAGTTACGTTAAAGAATGAGAAGAATATCTTTTTATATCTACAACATCCGCATTGGAATCGGATAAGCATCACTTGTTCGGTGACTAGCGGTCAAAGTTTGTTACAGTTATTTTTCTACTCTGTGTACATTTCTCATCGTATATTTGATAACCTACGTACACTTTCTTTGATATTGAAACGTATTACTATAATCGTATATTCTGTTTTTCCTAATATTTTTTAAATATATACCTCCATGGACAGTAATGAAAGTAGTCCTTGTAATTTTACCTATTCCACGGTATACAGAGATTGGCCAGTTTATATATATCATTTCAAAAGGTAAAATTCTAGACCAACGTTTAAAAGATTCTGAGAATATTTTTTTATAGAAAATGTTGTAACAAATAGAATGCTAATCAACTAGTAATAACAAAATATTTGAAATAGTATAATGAATAAATATGCATATCTATTATTAGTTTGTTATTTATTATTGTGATACTTCACCAAGATAATCTTGTAAACATTGTAATGATTTTGTCGATTCCAATAAATCTGGAGTCAATTTTGATCGTGTGATTTTCGACACCAACAAATATGTCAATTAGCCGAGAATAAACAAAGATATGACCGAAAGTAATACATGATGATATCAAAAAAACACCGACATGCAACAGTGATTTGTGTGACGATGCATATCACTAGTAACTATACAAAGAAAGATAAGCAGACAAAAACTTATTTGAAGAAATGTTTTATATCTTATTACTACAGCGATCGAAAATTTATTTTTGAATTATCGAAAATGTGATCCATTGGTGAAAAAGTTTCAAAACAACCTCAACTTTTTCCGTGGTTAGAGACAACGCTCCATCGCATCAGTTGTGGTGACCTGCTGTAGATGTCCATTAGAAAAGGTTAACAACAATAGATGATTCAAGCTATCTATTCCGATACTTTTTATTGGTAAATTGACGGCCCCTAATTGTGAAGTATGTCAGATTTTATCAGCGGACATGACCGTTTTTACAGAGTTTTCTACTACTTCAATCAATTGGTCGCCACTTAGACTTATGTGGCGGTGAAAAGAGACACATGACAGTCGGAAGCTGGATTCACTGTAACCAGGTAAATCATATTTCGGTTGGTGTATATATATATTTGATATACAGTACATGCGACAGGTGTACCTTATTGATATTGGGTACAACTTTTTATAACTGTCAATTAGAGTGTCTTCATTCTTCATCTCAGTCGACTATTTTCTGTTTTTAAGTACGTGTAGAATCTTTATTCATGAACTCCTACATTTTTTCGTTTCACTATGAATAGTGGTTACTTCTTTTATCCTAGTTTAGTTTGTCCATAACAATGGTTGTTCTGTCCTTCTCTGTTAAATCTCTCGGTACTTTTTCATTCTCTCTCATCCATATTATATTTAGGTACCTCGATTTTTTCCTCCAAACCATTTCTGATCTTGTTTGTTCTGTGTCTACCTGTGGAAGTAATTGTGAAACTTCCATCTCTATGTCAACAACAGCTTCTTTCACTGGTACTTGTTGGAGTATGATGGTAAAGTGTTGGTCCTCAGCAATAACCTTCCTCTGTTCGGCTATCAACTACTACTTGGTATTGATAACCCAAATGTTTATTTGAGAGTCATATTAATCTCACTGATACGTCTTTCCTTTTTTTAAACCGCTAAAAATAGTTTCTGATAATATAATAGCAAATAGAGAAAGCTCATCTCGAACAAAGCCAAATTCTTACATCTTAACATTTGTTTTCATAATTTCTTTCTTCTAGATTTCGCTGCATTACCAACCTTTGCATGTCGCATTTGATTCGATGTTCAAGGACTTGTTCTCAATATCACAATTTTCGTGCAAGATGTCGACAACTGACAGACAAAGTCAGTTCACAGGGTTTCAAGAGATGCAAGTTGGTGAAAATGAATTTCACGTTTTTAGGTCGCCAATATGATAAAATAGAAAATGTCCTATTTCTTTGTGCGTTATGAAGCTGAACGTGTTTGATGTTCGTTAGTATACTTATTATCTGTCTTACAAATCGAGATCAATCCAGTTTATGTCGCAACAACTGTCTTACAGATCTAGTGCAATCCGAGGGAACACCAAAACAACAAACACAAATCGATTATCAAAGGAATCTGGGAAATATCAAACCAATGAAACCAATAGATTAACGGAACAAGGCAAGTGATGGATTACCAACTCAACACAAAAAAATGTTATTATAACAGTACAAAAGCACTATTGAAAATAAGAAACACGTGTTTAGTTAATCTTTAATTTATTATTTTTTATATATATATATATATATATATATATATGTGTGTTGCAAAAAATAAAAAGGACTGAAAATTTCAATTTTCTTCTCAGCCACTTGCAGAATACCAAATAATGAACATTATTATTCTTTAAGTTACTTCCCTTTATTTATACAGAAAGATGTACTGGTATATAGGCACTGGTGTCTGTTGTTTAATCTTGTATAAAAGACGAAGAATGATAACGTACTGTTATATTTCAGGAGTGTCTGGTAAAACATCCAGTTCTGGTGTAACACGTAAAAGGACCACTCGAATTCGAGATATACTATGTCATATCGACTGTGATATCACATCTGCTGTATACGCCGTCATATAACCATGACGCCAAGCATGCCATGTAATACAATAGGCCCCTGTCTTCTTCTAAACACCAGTACCATTAGTAATACTGTATACAATGTAACACCATAGGCACGTGTCTTCTTCGTATTCTTCTAAACACCAGTACCACTATGTAATACTGTATACAATATAACACAATAGGCACATGTCTTCTTCTAAACACAAGTACCATTAGTAATACTGTATACAATGTAACACCATAGGCACGTGTCTTCTTCTAAACACAAGTACCATTAGTAATACTGTATACAATGTAATACAATAGGCACGTGTCTTCTTCTAAACACAAGTACCACTAGTAATACTGTATACAATGTAACACCATAGGCACGTGTCTTCTTCTAAACACAAGTACCATTAGTAATACTGTATACAATGTAATACAATAGGCCCGTGTCTTCTTCTAAACACAAGTACCATTAGTAATACTGTATACAATGTAATACCATAGGCACGTGTCTTCTTCTAAACACAAGTACCATTAGTAATACTGTATACAATGTAATACAATAGGCCCGTGTCTTCTTCTAAACACAAGTACCATTAGTAATACTGTATACAATGTAATACAATAGGCCCGTGTCTTCTTCTAAACACAAGTACCATTAGTAATACTGTATACAATGTAATACCATAGGCACGTGTCTTCTTCTAAACACAAGTACCATTAGTAATACTGTATACAATGTAATACAATAGGCCCGTGTCTTCTTCTAAACACAAGTACCATTAGTAATACTGTATACAATGTAATACAATAGGCACGTGTCTTCTTCTAAACACAAGTACCATTAGTAATACTGTATACAATGTAATACAATAGGCACGTGTCTTCTTCTAAACACAAGTACCATTAGTAATACTGTATACAATGTAACACCATAGGCACGTGTCTTCTTCTAAACACAAGTACCATTAGTAATACTGTATACAATGTAACACCATAGGCACGTGTCTTCTTCTAAACACAAGTACCATTAGTAATACTGTATACAATGTAATACAATAGGCCCGTGTCTTCTTCTAAACACCAGTACCACTATGTAATACTGTATACAATATAACACAATAGGCACATGTCTTCTTCTAAACACAAGTACCATTAGTAATACTGTATACAATGTAACACCATAGGCACGTGTCTTCTTCTAAACACAAGTACCATTAGTAATACTGTATACAATGTAATACCATAGGCACGTGTCTTCTTCTAAACACAAGTACCATTAGTAATACTGTATACAATGTAACACCATAGGCACGTGTCTTCTTCTAAACACAAGTACCATTAGTAATACTGTATATAATGTAACACCATAGGCCCGTGTCTTCTTCTAAACACAAGTACCATTAGTAATACTGTATACAATGTAACACCATAGGCCCGTGTCTTCTTCTAAACACAAGTACCACTAGTAATACTGTATACAATGTAATACAATAGGCACGTGTCTTCTTCGTCTTCTTCTAAACACAAGTACCACTAGTAATACTGTATACAATGTAATACCATAGGCACGTGTCTTCTTCGTCTTCTTCTAAACACAAGTACCATTAGTAATACTGTATACAATGTAATACAATAGGCACGTGTCTTCTTCTAAACACAAGTACCACTAGTAATACTGTATACAATGTAACACCATAGGCACGTGTCTTCTTCTAAACACAAGTACCATTAGTAATACTGTATACAATGTAATACCATAGGCACGTGTCTTCTTCGTCTTCTTCTAAACACAAGTACCACTAGTAATACTGTATACAATGTTATACAATAGTATCACTATTCTATGGCGATATGCCGATTATTTCATCTAAATTGAAAAAAAATATTCAGTATCGACGGTGTAATTCGCCAAATGGAACAGCCGTTTTGACGATGAACCGACGCCGTTTCTATTCCTACAATACTGACGTCATAATGGTTAAAATACTGACGTCATAATGATCAAACGCTGAGTGTCATTTAAGGTAGCTTTATAAAGTGACATTGTATTACAATATCATGTTCATCACGCTAGCATTACTCCTTACAATGTAATACAATTCACTCTGTATATCTGACCAGACTCCGCACCGCTAGTTTACTTTGATCTGAAGTGAATAATCATGCGGCATATCCCGTGCTATCACTATCACAGGACTTGTTCTTCAAATCATACTTATCACCTAATGTCTCTTTTTTACACATTTGGATCATGTCCTTTTTGTCTATATAGATGAAGCTGCGACGTCTGCAAGTTACACCTAGAATACACATATCCGGCCTCCGTCTAAACACCCGGAGTACACTATCATTGACGTCCGGTTTTTATTTTATGTGCTGCACGAAGTTTATCATACCGCTCTACCTCTCTGTAAAAAGGCACCAGTTCCGGTGCTACTGACGGAGGTACATAAGTTTCTTTCACCTCCTCCACGATTTTCGGAGGGTTCACTATCTTGTCAACTTCCGTAAAAATGTCCAAGCGTTTTATTCTCTTCAGTGTTTCCATTATGTCTTCGGTCTTTGCTCGGGTGTGGTGTCGCCTCCATCGATTCAGCGCAATAAGCGTGCGATTCTCTCGGGGTCCGCGGGCACTCTCTACGCTTATGGCGCTGATGTCCTTCTCGATGGTCTGTTTACCACGTTTAGGGAAGAAGGGAAGTTCGCGATACAGGTCCATCCACTCTAGGTCAATGTAGCGGGACACCATCACGCAGACCTTCGTCAAAATATCTGAAAAATTTGAAACTACAATTGTAATATTGAAATACTTATTCCTTACCATTTACCATTTTATGGCAGTTTTACGTTAGAATCATGCTCACGGGGTAGGACTATTGAACGCTGTGTAAAAAAATCGAGGTTACTTCTAGTAACAAAATGGATATTGAAAAGCATTGTAATTCTATTCATTATGATTTCAAACTGGATATAGGCAAAATCAACATAATGCGCTAACACATTTGGCTTCCATGTTACCAATGAGTGCCAACTAAAAACGGTTAAATGCTTAAATAAACTCGGACTTGAGTTATTTTTCTCAACTCCTCTAGAAACACATTAAGATGGGTATACGATTTAAGTCAATCGTTTGCAATTTCGATGAATTCTTAGTAACAACGCCATCAAATACATTTAAAGATTATTTGGAGGTTTATATTTGTAGACTGAAGACTGACTCAGAAACATGATAGCATGAATCCGTGTTTAAATTTTGGCGCGAAATGTTAAGAAGTTCTGTTGTTTAATGAATTATTAGAAGAGAGCTTAGATAACGCAGCAGCTGTCTTACCTTCACTCGGCGTGAGCGACTGAAGCGATTGGGCTCGGTGTCGGTGGCCAATCGGCAAACAGAAATAGATCTTCTCGGCCACGTCCGTGCTGGTTTTGTAACGGTGTATACGTCTGGCCAATTCAAGCGCCTTAACTAGCCTCTCCACATCATCCTCACGCTGCTGCCTCCCTTCATCTACGTCATTTGCATCCCGCCTTAACTGTTGCAATTCTTTTTCTATTTTTGCTAAACATGTTTTTTTCTCTGCCATCCACTCTAGCTTAAACTGAGCGGCGGTTAGTTGGCGTTTCACCAACGGCAGTTTGTCTCTAACAAATCTAATTTCATCAGTCAACATATCAAACGTCTCATTGTAGTTTTCAGGTGAAACATCTGCAATGTTCTTTTTCAGCTCATCTCTTCGAAATACTTTAAATTCTACTTCCGATTGTAACTCTGCGTTGAGGTTTATAAGATAATCGGCCTCTATTCGGAGCGCCTCTTCCTTTTCTTTCATGTTTTCAACTTCTGTTGCCGCCTTATCCCATTCCAACTCTGTTTGGTTAAGTTTGTAAGTCACAGCGTGAAACCTTTGTTTACTTTCACGCATTAGTTTAACCTTTTCCTCTTTGTGTTTCTCCATATCATCGATATCATTGCGTAGGAATACGGGATAATTCTCGTCTGCTTGAAGCCATGTTTTCAGCACGGTCATTACCGCCCGTATATTTGTACACGCGTCCGCGAAAATTAAAATAAATGGGACATGTTCACATTCGTTCTTTTTACAAAATGTCGCAACAGGGGGAGTGAATCCGGTGAAGTGAATCATGCTAGACTTAAAGTCTCTCTGAAGTTTGTGAACTCTTTCTAAGCTACTGCGGATACTCTTCTGCCATGTACGTAGCTGTTCCTCGTAATGCGAGGCCGTCTCGAGATAAACGTCGGAGTCCGTATCGTAGAAACTGACAAAATATTTCTCCAGCACAGTAAGAATTCCGTTACAACAGTCAATGATTTCGTTGAATTTGTCAGGAACATACGTCAGCACTTTGGCATATGCTTCTTTTAGTAAGGTTATGTTGTTTGGGTCACCCTTGTACCGCTTTGGGTCACTTCCGGATTTTATCGCATTTTCAATTGCTGTTACGGAAGACATGTCAAAAATTGTGAGCATGCGCATTACTCCTTTTATAGGCATCACGTATTTGTCAACTTCATGCTGTACGCTTTTACCAACTCCGTAGTAAGAGCGCTCAAGTCGAGACAACTTCTTTCCGATGCTCCCCAGTTCAGTGGTGATAATGTTCCTCAAGTCGCGAAGACTTCGTGGGGGACTTACTTCAAGACGCTTTAGCCCTCGTAACTTCTTGTGGATTGGCGGCATGTCTTCCAAGGCAGGCAACGCAAAGGCTGCCTTGGTAACCAATGTGGGCATGCGCAGATCCAAAAGTGGGCGTCGAAGCTACAAAAGAGAAATAACATAACATTAAACGTCATCTATACAAACCCTCGGTGTGTCGATGTTTTATCAGAGTTATGACGATGTTTACGAAACCTTTGTAAATCCGTTTACAATAATACAAAACATCAATGTGTATATGTTACAATGCACGGTCACTGTATATAAGTATACTAGTACGTTGTATTAGTACTGTCTCTGCTGTCTCCTGTATCATAACTGAAACTCTCAGGTCCCTCACCTAGAAGATATGTTGCGATTACGATAACTTATGTAAAATAAGCTTTGGTATAAACATTCCTCCTGTCCTAAACCTTTTCCTTACAATTTTCTTAATTTTAATCCCGCCAAAAATAATAAATGGATGTTGAAGATCGCGTTTTGTAGTCTTTTGAGCCTGAACTAGGACGATAAATACAACCGAGTTGATCCGTATTGATCGATCAGAAAATCTATCGTGGTATGGTTACACATTATCAATAGGAATATTGATTGGACTCAAAAATTAAACTCTATCGCTGTTATCTGTACGAGTGACGTCTGTATCGACAGTTGGTTAAATATTTGTGCAAGGGACTACTTACCTATTGATAAGGTAACGATATAATCTATCCTATCTCATTTTTCAATAAAATGAAGTTCAGAACAAAGCAAGGTCAAATTCACAATATTGAACGTTATTACCGAGGGAGTATACCAGAACTATAACGATAAACTTTCTGAAGTTGTAGCAAAAATAATCACATCACTGCTCTGACCCCGACCTCTTACCAACTTGAAAACCGGTAAAGGTCGCCTAACCGACATAGAAACTGGTATCAGACACATTACTGACATTATTAGACATGTTATCGAACTGGCTAATAGTATCAGATACGTAACAGACACTTTACCGACATATATACTGGCATTAGACACCTGGCTGGCCTATATACCTGTAACAGACACGTTACCGACATATATACTGGCATTAGACACCTGGCTGGCCTATAAACATGTAACAGACAATTTACCGACATATATACTGGCATTAGATACCTGGCTGGCCTATATACCTGTACCAGACACTTTACTCGACATATATACTGGTATTAGACACCTGGCAGGCCTATATACCTGTAACAGACACTTTATCGACACATATGTCGGTATTTGACCCGTTACTGACATATCTACCGGTATTAGACACCTGGCGAGCCTATAAACCTGTATCAGACACTTTACCGCCACATATGTCGGTATTAGACCCTTTACTGACATATCTACTGGTATTTGACACCTGGCAGACCTATATACCGGTATCAGATACCTGTATAAGACACCTATATATTATTATTATAAACATCTGGCTAGTTATTATCAGAAATTTCAGATATCTTGATACTCAAACGGCAAACAGCTATCAAATGTCTTGGCAATCAATGTGAGTATCGTTGAATATCAGCATCTATATAGAAATTCGATACGTCTAAAATATTGGTGTTTTTTGTTATGGTCCAATCCATCTAGTGTTGGTGACGTTGGATACAACCGACACCACAGGTGAACAAAATGGATTCCCTAGACACATATAAATCTACCGAACCATATCGACAGTCAATAGTCAATTAAAATTGCATGTATGCTTTAGATCAGCACTGGTTAGGATTAGCTGCTGTTGTCACATACCCATAACATTTTTAGGTATTACGCGTGTTATATAGCTTATCTTGACGACACTATCGGTATTGAAACAACGTCGCTCATTCGCAGATTGCATTGTGACATAACAAGTCAACCATGAATATCTTACTCCAGACAACTGCTGCCCAAGTTAGCCTCGAATATCTTAATCTGAACAACTATTACTGGGGTCAACCTTGATTATCTTACTCGAGACGACAACTATTACTGGGGTCAACCTTGATTATCTTACTCGAGACGACAACTATTACTGGGGTCAACCTTGAATATCTTACTACCGACAACTATTACTGGGGTCAACATCGAATATCTTACTCCGAACAAATATTGCTGGGGTCAACCTTGATTATCTTACTCGAGACGACAACTATTACTGGGGTCAACCTTGAATATCTTACTACCGACAACTATTACTGGGGTCAACATTGAATATCTTACTGTAGACAACTGTTACTGGGGTCAACTTTGAAAATTTTACTCCAGATCATCTGCTACTGAACTTAACCTAAAGATCTTACTCCAGACAAGTATTACTCAAGTCAAGCTAGAATATCTTACTGTAGACAACCGTAACTGAACTTAACCTAGAAAATCTTACTCCAGACAACTATTACTGAAGTCAAGCTAGAATATCTTACTGTAGACAACTGTTACTTAACTTAACCTAAAAAGAACTTACTCCAGACAACTATTACTGAAGTCAAGCTAGAATATCTTACTGTAGACAACTGTTACTTAACTTAACCTAGAAAAACTTACTCCAGACAACTATTACTGAAGTCAAGCTAGAATATCTTACTGTAGACAACTGTTACTTAACTTAACCTAGAAAAACTTACTCCAGACAACTATTACTGAAGTCAAGCTAGAATATCTTACTGTAGACAACCGTTACTTAACTTAACCTAGAAAAAAGTTACTCCAGACAACTATTACTGAAGTCAAGCTAGAATATCTTACCGTGTAAAACTCTTACCAAAGTGAACCTCAAATATCTTACTCCAGACATTTGTTACCGAACTTAACCTAGAATATCTTACTCCAGACATTTGTTACCGAACTTAACCTAGAATATCTTACTCCAGACAGCTGTTACCGATTTAACCTCAAATATCTTAGTGCAGACAACTGTTACATAAGTTAACCTCTAATTTCTTATCACAGAAAACTGTGAGAGAAGTCAACATCGAATATCTTATTCTGGACAACCATAATGGAAGTTCGGTCAAAAGTTGAACATCTGTTACAAAGGTGATAATTGTTTTTATCAATCCATTTTCTTTTTTTTCGGATATATCAGTTGTTCTTTGTTATTTCCATTCGTAACAAAACTTCTCCTCTGCCATAATCGACCGATACTTGGGAAAGAAAAAAAAACAAATTTTACAAACTCGCCACTACATAACATCCCGAAAAATGATCGAATTCAGCATTTTCACGTAGTTTTTTTTCGATAATCGGTTGATTATGTCTAAATACATATAACAAAGAAAAAACAGCTATACCCTGAAAACATCCGCAAAAAAACGAATAAAAATATCTCTTTTGTTACAGATGTTTAACATTTGACCTTTTACCGAAACCTTTTAAAGAGCCTTCACCAAAACAGAAGTTAAATTTTGACCATCTGACCTTCGTGCATCATTTACGAAGCTGGACGTCAAAACATTTGCCATGGTGGCCGAGATGTTCGGACGGTAGAACAGTTTACTGTCGCCATTTTCATCAATACAGGATTATGTGTCACAGTCATCAAAGTATATTTCTTTTACAAGATTTGTTTCAAAGTACTTGACCAGCATGCTTGATATATTAAATATCTCGAAAAAGGTACTTAATAAAATGTCACTGACTCTAAAAACAATCTTACTAATCTTTAGAAAGGCACGTTAAAAACACATACAATATTGACACAGAGTCGTGCAGACATAAAGACAAATAATACGCCAGATGTGAACATTGAACTGCCTAAAATAACACTTAGGTTTACGTCCAATTAGACGAAAGCGACAAATATATTACAATTTACCTGTACAATCGTGTAACACCTTAACCCTAGCTCGTTGATTCTTAGCTGGTTGTACCTTTGATGTGTCGGGTTGGTTTGATTACAGGTATACTATTCGTCCCATACTTAACCCTGTGTCGACTGTAAGCTATCTACTGTCTTTTGTCTAGGTTTCTATACAAGTTACAGTCTTAACTGTCGAAGTTTGTTATTTATTTCAAAAGGAAAAGTAAAAACATTGTGCTTATTGGTGATTAAAACTGAGAGCCCTTTCAGGTAAAGTCTACTGGTAACCACAGGTATCTCAAGTTAGCAACACAAACAAATACCGCACCAGGTACACTACCCATTAAGATTAAGTGCTTTTCACACATAAACAAAACAAAATTTCACTTAATCCAATTTAATGTTTAAAATTTATTCTTGGTTTATGAAAATGGCAACATTCAGAGAATATATCAATAAAACATTAAAACAACAGCTAGAATGAGTGTTCTCTGTGTAACTCTACAATATATTTAACAGTACAACCCTGTCTGACAGTACACAACACGTACCGGTACAACCCTGTCTGACAGAACACAACACGTACCGGTACAACCCTGTCTGACAGAACACTATACGTACCGGTACATTCCAGTCTGACAGTGCACAGCACGTACCGGTACAGCCCTGCCTGAAAGAACACAACACGTACCACAACACGTACCAGTACAACCCTGTCTGACAGTGCACAACACGTACCGGTACAACCCTGTCTGACAGTACACAACACGTACCGGTACAACCCTGTCTGACAGTAGACAATACGTACCGGTACAACCCTGTCTGACAGTAGACAACACGTACAGGTACAACCCTGTCTGACAGTACACAACACGTACCGGTACAACCCTGTCTGACAGTACACAACACGTACCGGTACAGCCCTGTCTGACAGTACATAACACGTGCCGGTACAGCACTGTCTGACAGTACATAACACGTACCGGTACAACCCTGTGTAACAGTACTCAATACATACCGGTACAACCCTGTCTGAAAGTACACAACACGTACCGGTACAACCCTGTCTGACAGTACACAACACATACCGGTACAACCCTGTCTGACAGAACACAACACGTACCGGTACAACCCTGTCTGACAGAACACAACACGTACCGGTACAACCCTGTCTGACAGAACACTATACGTACCGGTACATTCCTGTCTGACAGTGCACAGCACGTACCGGTACAGCCCTGCCTGAAAGAACACAACACGTACCACAACACGTACCAGTACAACCCTGTCTGACAGTGCACAACAC